AGCATCTGTGGTTGATGAGTTATAGCCGTTCAAAGGTGACCAATCACACTTGCGTTTCTTTTGGTAGCCACTGTATATTGTAAATTAATTTACATATCAATTTTTTAAAAATGTTCAAATGCAGTAATATAATGCAGTAATATGTAATTTAAGAATTCGCAATATGAATTAGTATTTTTTTTTTATTATCATGCTTTCTGACTTCAACTAAATTTTTAGTATTACATGAATTTTTACAAATAGTAAAATATATTGCATGTTATGCATTTGCAAAAAAAGCATGTATAGCTTGTGTGATATTTGTTCATTTTATATGGATTCAAGTTTGTGAGAAATTAAATAATAATAAATATATACCTAAAGAATAATAACTGAAGATACTTAAAATAAAAATATTAATATTGCTTATTATTGAAAAAATTTTTGGACTTAATAGTTTTCAAGAAGGATAAATGAAAGTAATTATTATATATTTGAGTAGTAAGGATACATTTTATCTATAAAAACTGGTAGGGAAAAACCTTATACTACATAATATTAGCCATTTATTTTAAAGGTTTAACCATTATATTTAGTTTACTAAATACTTATAGACGATCAAAAGGTTAGAATTTAATAAATAATATTATTTTTTATTTATTAATATTAATATATTTATAATTCTTTTTTTTTTAATTTAGTAAGAACTCATAAAATGGGTATTTTATGTGTTACTTTATATACTAATTTAGTATAAGAAGCATACATTCAAAAAAAAATTTTTAAAGAAATAGCATGTGAACTGATAAAGATGTTATTTGTTACATCCAAAAAACTAATATCTAATGAAGGATTTTGCAAGTTTATTACATAATTTTATGAATAAAAAAAAGTTTAATTTGTAATTGATAAAGTACATTGTATTATAGCATATCAGAATTTTAGGTAATTTTAATAAAAATTAGTATAAAAAAATAATTAATTATACAATTATTAAATTATATTATATTATTTTATATAATAGGAAAGCTTGAAAACAACTTAGAATGTTGAAACAGTGTTAGAAATCAGCTCTAATTATGTTACTTATAGTAATATATATATAATTAGAAGTAAATAAAAGTTATACAAATTTAACTATTAAAAAAAAAATTTTGCATTGATTCATAGTTTTATAAATCATCGATCAAAAATAATTTTAATAATAAAGAGTAAAAAAAGTCTAGAATTAATATATTACTAATATTATAGCTATTATAAATACTAATTTACTTTAAGAATATTATCATATATTGCATAACATATTTTAATTGTAAATATTTATATAATAAGTTACAGGAAATCTTAATGGATATTTTAATAGATTACTTTTATAGCAATTTACATAATAGTGAAAGAGAAATAGTAATGAATAATTAAAAATCTAATTCTGTATAAATAATGGTTATAATATCTACTTTCAGAATGAGATTCAATTCAAATAATATACATATAATAATTCATGTAAAAGCACCAATAAGTATGAGTATGTATGCTATTTTAGTTTATTTTTTATTTATTTTATATTTGAAAATATTATTATATTTTTGTAGCTAATCTTATTCAGAAAGCAAGACGTGCAGAATGTAATAGAAATTTTGCAACACATTATATTTTTTTGTAAAAAAGACATTTGTATAAATTATTTTATAGTAGCAAAGTATTAAGAAATATTAATAATAAATTACATTTTATAAATGTGATTTTTATTAATTATAAAATATTGATTTAAATTTTTTTATATTGTATTTATTATTACAAGTATTGAAAAATAAAAACTAATTAATAAACTTAATCATATTGCTAAAAAAATTTTTGAAGTCTTACATTATTACAATTTATAATATAAATGCTGTCAATAGCTAATTTGGTAATATTAAGTATGATCAAATGAAATAAAGCTACCTGTATATAAAATATGTGATAATTGTATTAATTAAATTGCTAATAAATTAAAACTACTTAATGGTAAAGAAGAAATTAAAAAATTATTAGAAGTAATAGAATATCTTATATAGGAGACAGATGAGTCTAAATAATGTAATAAATGTATTTAGAGGAGGAAAAACTGCAAAAATTAAACAAAAAAAATGGAATACTTTATCAGTATATCCAACTGAAAAAAGAAAAATATTAAAAATAAAGGAATTAATTTACTTTACTTTGATTGACTTAGTTATTCATGGTCTAGTTCAAAAAGATACTATATTACAAAAATCATTTGAAGATAGTATTTATTTGTCTAGTAGTATTATTATAGCTGGTGTAGTACCTGATGCATAAGAAAATGCTAATATGTAAACATGGTATTATTTTATCAAATAAAATGTTATAACATGATTATAATTTTAGCAGAAATTACAGTAATTTTAATTATTATTATTATTATTATTACACAAAAAAAAAATTTTTCATATATGTAATATCAAAAATAATCAGTATACACTCTACTCTTAAAGCTTAATTTATTAATTTTATTAAAATTTTAATATAATTATAAGAATAGTAATAGTTAGTTATGATCAGCCAATAGTCAACCAATAATAAGTCAAAATCCTTTAATTGATCTAATTTTAACTGATTAATTAACTGATCAGTTGATAATAATATAATTAAATAGTTTTAATTTAATAAAAAATTTTAATTTAATTAAATATTATAATTTTAATTCTTATTTTAACAAATATTTTTAAACTATTTTATCATTTTTATTTAGTAATGTAACACTATTGTAAACTTTAATTTTTTAAAATTTCAAAATTTTAATTTAATAATAAAATATTGATTTTATTAATTTAATACAAAGTGTTTTTTATTAATTAAAATATGGTTATTATTTTCAAATTAATCAGTCAACTAGTCAAAATCAGTTAAAATTAATCAGAATCAATTAGTTAACAAGTTAAATAAAAATCTTTAATTAATCAATATTGATTATATGATCGACTATAATCATAATCATTAATATTCCTAATATAAATGCTATTATTTTATATTTGTTTGCTATTATTTTTTAGAAAAAAATTTCAACAGCTTTAAAAATAATTTAAAAGTTTACTCATTTTTTTTATTCTTTCATTTAAATTTATTATTAAAATTAATAATAAAGTTTACTTATCATAGTTTTTAGGATTTTTATTTATATCTAAATATAAATAAATTATGTATTGATTATATTTTATACAAATTTATGATAAGCAATAGATACATTTTTAAAATAGATATTGCAACTATACTATTTTTTAAAGTTATATATACATAATTAATAAAATTAAAAGAAATTTAAATTGCATATAATTTATATAATTTGTAATTGTTAATGAAAATCTTGTTACTTTTAATGCCGTAATGCCGGCCGAGTGAAAATTTTAAAAAAGGGTCCAATTGTTACGTGATACGATCAACAACAATATAAAGGATTCATTATTGTTTAAATTTTTCTTTTTTAAAAGAATTACTAAAATGACATCATCAAAGGAATGGATTGAAAAAAAGATAAATGAAAACGACATTACTAGTTTTGAATATAGTAGCCTTAGTAATTTTATTGAAATTGGTAAAGGAGGATTCGGCATTGTGCGTAGAGCGGATATTACCAGCAGAGGAATTCGAGTCGCATTGAAATGTCTCTTGACGATTAAAAAAAATGAAATAGTTGACCTTGTCAATGAAGTATGAAGGCCTTTTATTTTAATTTTTCATAAATATTTTTCGTAATTGTTTTAAACTGAGAATAATTTGTTTTAGTTGAAAATACTTCGTCAGTTTCATTATCATCCTAATATCAATAAATTCCTTGGAATAACAAAAGGTTATGTATTGAGAATCTCATGATTCATTTAATAGTTTACCTTAAATTCAACATAACTTCTTATATAAAATTAATAGATTCTGTTGGAACTTATATTATGGTATTGGAATATGCAAATGGAGGAAGCTTGAGAGATTATTTAGGAAATGAAGAAATATTTAAATCATTAAAATGGAAAGATAAGATTCGAATGTCATTGGATATTACTTGCGGATTGATGTGTTTACATAAAGAAAACATTGTTCATAGAGACTTGGTAATTGATTGATTTATTGTCATAATCTTTTATTCTAATGTTTGGTATTAAATTAATAATTATTTTAATTATATTATAGCACTCGAAGAATATACTTGTAAATGATGGTAGATTATTAATTGCAGACTTTGGAATATCTAGGCATTTAGAACAAATTACATCAAATTCAACTGCCTCTGGGTGTGGAATGATCGAATATATTGATCCACAATTTTACAAGGATTCCAATTTCAAAAGAGGTAAAAAGTCGGATATATATAGTTTAGGTGTTTTATCATGGGAAATTACAAGTGGACGTCCCCCGTTTCCGGACTTTGGAAATAGATACGCATTGATATATCATCTTATTTCGAAAAATAGAGAAAACCCAATAGAAAATACACCTCCAGAGTATCAAAAACTATATCAAGATTGCTGGGATGATAATCCTAATAAAAGGCCGGATATTGAAGAAGTTTATGGAAGTTTAAAGCAATTGGAATTAGAATTCAATACAAAAGTTAACTGGATGACGCAAATCTCGAATTCATCAACGGCTACTAACGCTGATAGTTTGGATTTGTTTAACATCGAATATCAAAATGGTGAATTTAGTTTTTAAATTTATTTGTTTGATAATTGTATTATGGTAAATTTTCATTTTCCTAACTAATGTTAAATTAATTAGATAATTCAAAATCTAAAAATAATATACAAGTAATTGTTCAAAGTTACTTAAAATATAATAATACCGGATGGACCAAAAATTATAATTTTATAAATGTTTTAAAAGAATATGAATCAGAATCGAAAGAACTGTTTAACTATTTAATTGATAATCCAAAAATACCGCATTATGAGGTATTGATTGGTAAATTTTATCAGGAAGGATTTGGAATTGATAAAAATCAACAGAAATGGTTTAAATGGTTTCTAAAAGCATGCGAAAGAGATGATGAACACGGTAAATACGAAGTAGGTTCATGTTATTATCATAGTCGTGGAATTGAAAAAAGCATTTTAAAAGCTGAACAGTATTTTAAAGGTATCGTTGATTGTGGACCAAATATAGCTTTATATAAACTCGCAAATTGTTATGAATTTACTATAAGTCAAGTAAAGGAAGCATTAATTAACAAGGCATTTCAACTTTACAAAACTTCAGCAGAAAAAGGATTTATACCATCTCAATTTAAGGTTGCATATCATTATAGTCATGGCTTTTATACTCAAATTAACGAAGTAGAGGCTTTAAAATGGTATAAATCATTTCATAAGGATGGAGGATATCCTGATGTGTCTGATAAAATTAAAAAATTAGAAAATTTATGACAAATAGATACATGATTTTTATTTTCAAGCTAAATTTATGATGAAAAAATTTAAAACAAAACTGTGTAATTTATTGATTTTTATTTCCAGATAAGACTTTTATATATAATGTAGAAATATTTGATAGTATTTGTTTAGAATGTTATTATCTAATAAAGATTATTGAAAATCTACTTAGTCATCATTGTCTCTAAATTTTTAACAATCAATTATCTATCTGTTCTGTATAGGTAATCATCGTGTTATCATTTTTATGACCCTCAATTCTTTTCTTACAATATTTTATTAATCTTGTATAATAATCTGGTTTCTGCTCTATCTTTAAGTCTTCTATTAAAAAATTCATTAAATCAACCCGAATTTTCTTTCGTCAAAGCCTCTGTAGAATTATTAATTATTTTAGATGACGAATTTTCCATTGATTCTACTGAGTTACTTTTGGTCAAGATTTCCTCGTTACATTCTACACTTATATAACTTGATGAATGATCTTCAATTATTAGTTCATTTTCTAATTTATCTGGTACCGCCGTAATTCTATTAAAATAATTAAATGGATGGTTTCTTCTCCATTCATCAAAAATGTTCTCTAATATATCAGCAGTTGGCCTTTGACTAGGATCAGGATCCCAACATTTTTTCATTAATTCTGCATATTCAGGTAACGTTCCTTCAACAGTTATCGGTCTTAATCCTCGACGTATGCTTGAAGAAAGTTGGATATTATGGGCGATATTATTAAATGCAGGAATACCAGACGTCATTTCCCACATAATTATTCCAAATTAATAAATATCTGCAGCTTTAGTATACAATTTTCTACTCAAAATTTCTGGCGCAACATAAGGAAGTACTCCATAAATTTCATCAGATTGCTTATTTACAGGTCGGCATAATCCAAGATCACTTATAAGAACAAGTTCTGAATCATGTAAAAGCAAGTTACCGCCATGAAGATCTCCATGAATTAAATCACATTTATGCAATGCCGAAAGCGCTTTTGCGATAGTATACAAATTATGAAATTTATCATTTGGATTATATTTCTTGATTGCTAAATTTGACCCTAAATTTCCACATTTTACTTCTTGCATAATGATTATATAATTCAAAGTTTCGGGGTCTTGAGTTATTCCATATAATTCTAGAAAGATGGAATAATTATTCTTCATAATATATGAAAATTTCAAATATTTTTCCACTATAATTAAGTTTTCAATATTAATTAGCCATTAGTATATGGCATATAAAAATTATCGTTATAATAAAAACCTCATTTAAGAATTCATCGTCAATATTTTGGGAATCAGTCAAATATTTTAATACTACGTAAAATCCTATTTTTTCATTTTCATTAAGAGGTGATAAAATACATTCTTTTTTTACCTTTGTATCAATTTCATTTTCAATTTCATTAAATGATCCCTTAATAATACTTTTTCTTGCATTTGTATAATCATCTCCATTAAGTTCATTATTATTTCTATGCCACTCTTTATTAAATATTTTATCATTACACCGTTTTTTAATTGGACCATCTAACCAAATAGCCTTATAAATCGTATTGAATCCACCTTGAGTTAAATATTGTATATTTCTTAACCGATTATATGGTATCCATTCTAAAATTTCTTGAAAATTTCTGGCTTTTAATTGAGCTTCCTTAATAAATTTATCTATATGCTTATTTCTACCAGTCCATCTACTGAAGTTTTGTTCAAATTGTTTAGAATTGCAAATCTGACAATAATCCCAAAAAGTATTTGCATGATTGCAATCAGAACATAAACCATAATATTCGTTGAGTATATCTTGTCTATATTCACACATCATAAAAGTGTTAAATGGTTCTTGTTCTAAAATTTCATCCGCTTTCTGAAATTCTAAAAAATCATTTATTAATTTTTCATCTATATAATTATATGTTTCATATCCATCAATACTTTGATACCAATTTCCAATAATATTTTTAATTTCTGATGCAGTTGGCCTTTTAATGGATCCATATCCCAACATTTTTCCATTAAATATATATAACATTTGGGAACATTTTCAATAATTTTAGGACGTTTACTTTACAAATATCTAAATTAAGTCGAAAATCATGAGCTTCATTATTAAATGGAGTAACTCCTGATATTAATTCCCACATAATCATAGAAAAACTATATATATCACTAGCTAAAGTATAAGGTTGACCCCTTGATACTTCAGGGGCTACAAATGGTAGAACACCATAAATCTCATTTTTTTTAGAAATTTTATAATAATCTACAGGTTTACACAATCCCGAATTACTGATAGAGAAAGTATTATTTGCATTCATTAAAATATTATCGTGATGAAAATTACAATGAATAAAATTTTGCTGATGTATTACATCAAGTCCGCTAATAATACTATGCAATTTAAATAATTTATTTATCCATTTATCTTTAACAATAATTGATAAATTTTTTTGTAAGTTACTTTTCTCTGCAAAATCCATAACTGCTACGTAATCTAAAGTATTTGGATTTTGGGAAAATCCATGTAATCGGATGAAATGATCATTTGATAAATTATAACATTTATAATGAAATTTCCACTATAAATTATCAAAAGTTAGTAAAACAAATTATAATAAATTAAGGAAAGAATGCATTGATATCATACTTCATTCATAAATTCTTCATTTAGATTTGATGATAAAAAACTTTTAAGAACTACTTCAAAATTATTTTTTCTAAGCCATGTTCTTTTATCATAAGACCAATTTATGATAAATCCATCCAACCAAGTGGCTTTGTATATCAGATTAAATCCTCCTTTGTCCAAATATTCAACGTTTTTAAATTTGCCATAAGGAATCCATTCTAATACTTGCTTACTATTCTGAGCATTTAGTTGAACTTCTTGAAGAAATTTGTCAATAAACTTATTTTTACTAGTCCAATTGGAAAAGTTTCGTTGAAAATATTTAACATTACATTCTTTACACCATTTGTCATCTAAATAAGAATTGAATTCAGAACTTTCGGAATTAAGTTCATTAGTATCTGACTCCATATTATTGCTTATTTAAAATACGAAATTAATATTAAAATCTATGTGAAAGAATGTTTTTTAAATAGTAATTTTTATAAAAAAAATTTCCGAAATAAGTTTTAAATTAAATGTAGTGCAATATTACACAAACTAGTGACCGCAGTTTCAGTTGCAAAACGATCTTAATCCAGATTGGCGAGATTGCGCAGCAAATTAATTAATTTAAGTTTGTTATGTATGGTGAGTCTCACATTGCGCCGATTTTTTGTTTTAAAAAAAAAGTTAAAATTGACGATCATTCACTGCGTTAATTTGTTTATTAACTCGGATACTTTTGACAATGTTTTTGAACGTATTATTAAGTTCTAAAATGCTTCAATTTGATTAGTATCTATTATACTACTAATAAAATATGCTTTGAATTTGTGAAATATAAATTCAAATGCAAAAAGTATTAAATTATAAATCTTTTATAAGATCTAAAGCAATTAAAAGAATATTATTTTATAAGTATACTAAATTATGAAGAATTATTCTAATGGTATATGGCGAATCAAATAAAAATAATTTGTTTTACTTCATACAATGTGTTCATGTTAAAATTTATAATAATTAATTTTTCGGGAGAAACTAGTTTCGCTCAGGATGATCTACAAGGTGCTTCCAAATTGAAGATTCCGAAAGTTCACTGGGCAAAAAGTTTCGGATTTGAGAAAGTCGGTTTTCGCCCGAAATACTATATTGCTAATGGACTTGTTTATTTAGTAACTGCACCAACCAATTAAACGGTGAAAATTATGCTCACAAACTGGAACTATCGATAGACGATATTGTACTTATATCACATGCTAAATTAGGCAATTTTTAGAAATATTTTCATTTTATTAAAAAAAAAAAATTTTATTATGACGTTTAAAGAGATGAACACCCCCATAAATAAGAATTCCTTGTTACCCACATATGAATTCTTGCATATTTTCGTTATACTACGTCAGATTTCAGTATAGAACGAAAATATGGGGCCTTTGCAATAGAAAGAATAGAAAGGGAGAACTTCCGGGAAAATCAATTTTACTTTTACAGTTTATGACGCATTAACTCATTTTTTATTTTTCCAGTCGTTTCCCACTGTTCTATTGGCAAAGGTCTCAATTGATCAACTTAAATATTTTTCGTATTATTTATATGTGATGATACACAAGAAAAATTCGTACAAAATTGTAATGTTAGGAAAATCATTTTGTTTATTGAAGAGAAAAATATAAATTTATTATTTTGTGAACAAAATGAACAAATAATAAAACAAATGAAGAAATATATGTACACAAGAAAACCAAAAAGGATTGCAACCAAATAATAATATCATCTCGAATTACGGGTACCAATCTTTATACCAAGATAGATTAAAATAGCTAGAACTTTTATAGATATAAGATCCATCATCTTGTTTCTCCTATTCGATTAAAAACAAAAATATTAGTGATTGTTCATGATAAATCAAATAATCCGGAAATTATCTTTTATCTTACCATTTTCCTTTCTATCTTTTTAATCTCATCAGACACATTAATTAATCCACCGTTTTTTTGATACAATTGATACCATTTTAAAGCTTCAACTTTATCTCTTTGAGTGCCTCTACCGGAATAATAAAACCTTGATAAATCTACCTGAGATGGGATGAATCCATTTTCGGCAGCTTTTTTATATAATTTGAACGCTTCATCATAATCTTTCTGTACATGAAAACCATATTCATAAAAAAATGCGAGCCTATGTATGGCTATATTTAATTCGCCACCAGCTGCAGTCTCGTAAAATTCAAATGCCAACTTATAATGTTCTTCATCACTTCCTGCTTCACCCCATCCATCAAAATAATAATATCCAACTTTATAAAGTCCGTAAATATCCCCTTTATCACCTGCTTTTTTAAACCAATCAAAAGCTTTCGCTTTATTTTTTTCAATTCCGAATCCCATCTCATAAAATATTCCAATCATTAATTCATAATGTTGTATGCTTGGATTTTCAACAAGAAATCCAAAAATTTCTCGTGATTTTGAAATGTATGTTTTTAAAAATTTTGTAAAATTAAAATTTTTTGAATCCCCGACATGATTATATATTACATAATTTTGAACGATCTCATAGAATGCGTCACTTGTTTCATTAATATTTTGTAAAGTGGCTGATGACTTCTCATCCACACTTTGTGAAACAACTGATGATTCCTCTTTATGCGCAGTGATACTTTGTAATACGGTATCGCTTAATTCCTCTTCGTGCTCGTCGGTACTATGTATGACAACCGATGACGAATTGTCGCATTCCTCTTGTATATCATCTGGTACCACTAATGACAGTGTCGCACCTAGAAAACGACATTGATTAATGAGGTTAATGTGAATTTTCGTGATTTTGATAAATACAACTTCTACTTACTGATTTCATTATCATATTCAATTGCAGGTGTGTTAAATTCATCAGAGTTCTTTTCATCATCCATATCTTTAGTAATTTCATATTTGAACTCATTAATGTGAGATGGTAAAAATGTCAATATATTGCAAACTTCTTCGATATTTGGTCTTTCACTTGGATCTTCTTGCCAACATCTCTGATAAAGATCAATATAAGCCTGAGGTGTACCACCTATTGGTTGTTCCCTTTCTCCATTACTAACTTTAGAAATTATTTTAAATGATAAATCATTAAATTTACGAAAAGGAGGATGCCCACTCGTTAATTCCCACAAGAGGACACCTAAACTATAAATATCAGATTTTTCATCTCTCAAGTAATGTACGTTCTCTTTCTTAAAGCATTGCGGTTCAACAAATGCCGGCATTCCATGAACTTTCGAATTAGTAGACTTTACAGCATTCAATCGCTTAGATAATCCAAGGTCTGCGATCAACAACGAACCTTCGTGAACCAATATGTTTTTATCATGCTAAAAAAATGGAGAAATTTTTTTTTTTGAATTTCAAAGCAAAGAATTTGAATTCAATTAGATCATATTTAAATTGGTGGTTTACCAAATCTCTGTGAACGATATTTCGGGAATGTAAGCAAGACAACCCATCTGCGATATTCTTAGCCATTTGTAATTTCTTATCCCATTTAAGCGAATCAAAATTATGGTTTAAATAATCTCTTAGCGTTCCTTGATTGGCATACGACAGTACCATTATGTATTGATTTCGAACATCTATTCAATTTTTTTATAAGCAAAAAAAAAAAAAATAACGTCTTTAAACATGCAAAAAATAACAGACTATTATTATTATAATTTACCTTTTGTAACTCCAAAAAATCGTATTATATTCTTATGAAAATTAAGGTTTCTTAAATTTTTTACCTTGTTTTTTTTAAACAATGACAAAAAAAAAAAAAAAATTATAAGTGATTTTTGTTTTGTATTACTTGACTTTCGCTTGCATTTATTTACCTCTTCAAGCAATTCTTTATTATCTTGGATAAACATAAGAGACTTTAATGCCACTTGAGTACTTCCACCATTTATCCAGTCAGCTTTTTCTACAACGCCAAACGCTCCATTGCCAACCTTTTCCACATTTGTGAATTCATCATATTTGAAATAATTGATGTCTCCATCATTTATTTTCTTTTCCATCCAATCCGAATTCTCTAACGATGTTGTCATTTTTGAGATAATTTTTTTAGGAAATGAAAAAGGTCAACTTTTTCTTTTTGGCTTTTTTTTATTTAAAAAAAAAAAAATCGAAGGAAATTGTCGCTTTCTGAAATAAATTAATTATATTTATAGACCCCGGACATAAAAATAATTTTATACCTAAAGTATTAAACTTAAACTTTCATTCATAATGTTACAAAAGTAATTTCGAAATTCAGGAATCTGATTGGACGTTAATACACGACAAATTTGGAAATTATATATTTTTTTGGCTTGAATAGGCTAAATGTGAAACATTGCATTAATATTGTTCCTGGGGATCTTAATGAATGTATTTTATTGATAATGATCCTTTGTCTTTAGATAAATTGGTACACAAATATGGTTTTGTTTTGGAATTTAGTATAAAGGGATTTTTTTTTGTACGAAATGGAAATTTGGATGTTTTCTTAATTTAAACAACTAAATTGTAATTGTTCAAAATTACCGTTTCCCTTTCATGTTTAGTTCCGCAGTAAATGCAGAATTTTTTTTTTTTTAAAAAAAAAAAAAAATCAAATGATGTGTTTTAATTTTGAAACAAGTTTTATTTTTTTTTTGAAACGTGATGACAAAGAAATTATTTATGGAAAAAAATCTTGTATAAATTAAAAATAGCGGGTAAATCTTGTTTCAATGTAACGTTTTTTTATCAGATCGCAATTCTTTTAGTTGGTGGTACAATGACCTAACTAATTATGCACGATTTAATTATTTTACATTTTATGTCAACACAAGATCTTTAAAATATATATTTAGAAATTATTAATCAATTCAGAAAGACGAATGATAGGTTACCTCTTTTGATATTATTTAAACGTGGGGACAAAATTGAAAAAAATATAATAACTTTGGCGACCAAAAATTTAATTTAGTTATACATGCGCTGTAAACAAAAGGGAAAAAAAAAATTTCCATCGAGATCTACGTATATGTAAATGAAGATAATAAAAATCTGACCATTCGGAATAAAAGTTATTACGAGATTTGAGATTTTGAATTTGCATAGACGACGGGATTCCCTAATTGGTGTACGTCCCATACTACGTATCGCAGTTAGCATAATATTACGTATGTTGTTTTGTGTTCTATAAAGAATATTTTCTTGACATGTGCGTTACGAAATGGAAAATTCTTATAAATAAACTGTCGCATAATTCACAATTCCTTCATCAAGTCCTTCATTTTTTAATCCTCTTGGAATATTCACTCTCGTTAAAACACCCTACTTCCTTTTTACTTTATAAATTAATAGCGATATTAATGAAAAATGATCTTTAAATTATTTTCTTTCATTGCTCTCATTGCGTTCTTTGTAACTTTAGCTGCATCTGCGCCAGCTATAACTTGTCCATTTTCCCCTGAAGATCTCAAAGATGAAAGTAAACTTAAAACCTTTATTGTTACACTTAAATCACCTTCCGATCCAAATGAGGCTGCAAAAGTCGAGAAAAAACATTTTGATATATTAAAAGAATGTGGAGACAAATCAATTATAAATATACTTGGGGAAATTGTTGATGGATTGATAGAACTACTTCCAGTTTTTAAAAAAGATGTTAAGAAAATTTTAAATTTTACTACCAAAGGACTTATCATATATTCCGGAAGATTTACTCAAAATTTTGTCGATGAACATTTATCTAAACTAGAAGAAATTCTCATCATTCAAGAGGATATTAAATATATATTAGGTGATGATGTTTTTAAAAAAATCGATAAAGTCGGTCTTCCTACTTTACAATCTGGTGACAAAACTAGTGTGATAGTAAGTATAAATACGATAAATAATGATCCAACTTAAAACAATAAAATTTAATAATTATTGTTATTAACGTTAATACAGAATCTTGATCGTGTAGATGAAAGACAATTTCCATTAGATGGAAAATATCAATCCCCCGAAGGCAAATGCCAAGGAGCGAATGTTTATATTTTAGACACGTAAGTCAAAGCGATTGGCACAGTCATCATTCAAAATTTTTTTATTAATTTGATTAAAATTTTCTATTCCTTAGAGGAATTAATACACTCAATCTTGATTTTGGTGGAAGAGCTAAATTTGCTGCTGCCTTTTGTGATGGATGTAAAAAGGTTGACGATAACGGGTGAGTTAATTTTAATATATTTTAACAATTTTCTTTAATATATTGTAATTTAATAACGTAATTCATCGAATATAGTCATGGAACAATTGTTGCTGGAATTGTAAGTAGAAACATACTTTGTGACTTTTTAAAATATAGGTGTATTTATAAATATATTTTTATTTTTTATGAAATAGGTTGGTGGTAAAAAATTTGGTATCGCAAAATTAGTGAGATTATTTGCCGTCAAAGTATTAGATTCAGAAGGTTCGGGTTTCATGTCAGACCTACTTTTGGCAATACAGTTTGTAACTCAAAAACATTTAGAATCTGAGAATAAGAAAACTATCATCAAGTACGTATGAAATTTAAAAAATGTTCTTTTATGAGTAATTATAATTTATTGATAATGCTCTTTTTTTTTTTAACACAGCATGTCCTTAGGATTTGGCAAGTTAGTTCCACAAGTTGATCTCGTTATCAAGAACGCTCATAAACAAGGAATTATTACGGTTGTATCTGCTGGCAATGATGATCGAAATGCTTGCGAGGTATCTCCAGCTGCTACTAAAGAAGCAATAACTGTTGGTGCTACTGAACTTAATAGTGATGAAAAAACAAGTTTTTCTAACTTTGGAAAGTGTGTTGATATATTTGCACCCGGTAAACTTTATTACATTTTTTTTTTTTAAATAATATTATTAATAATAATGATAAATGAAATGATAATGATAATAATAATTAATAACAATAATTTCTTTACTATTTCATAGGACGAGATATTGAATCGGATTTGCATTTTTTACCAGTTGGTTCTCAAACGGCAAGTGGTACAAGCTTTTCCGCCCCTCATGTTGCTGGTGCCGTTGCTTGTATCATCGCCAATGAAGATTTAAATCCTGAAGAAGCGGCTAAAAAACTTTATAAACTTTCCACGAAAAATATTGTCAAAGGTATCAAAAGTGATACTCCTAATAGATTTTTATTTGTTAAAGGTTCAGGCCCAGTAAAACAATAGAATTTAAATTTTGTTCCCTAAAAAGTTTTAGTTAGTAAAAGCATTTGAATTTTGTCATATTACTTACTACAAGGTCTATTAGAACCGTGCGAACATTTTTTAATACTTGTACTGATAATTAGTTTCAGGTCTGCAAAATAGTAAAATCGCTATTAGAACGTATCGATCTTCGGTCGATAAAAATCAATAACACAGTAATAGATAAATTAATAAATAGAAATAATTCAAATGAAAGAACGAATTTTTTGTTAATAAATGTTTACCATTGGTTGAAAATGAACCAACCATTTGTTGCAAATTATGTTTATAAACAGGTCTTAAGAGCAAGCTCATTATAGATCGAAACATTCTAAGAAAAGAACAAGTCCCGCAGGATCATTTGATGATTCATTTCTAGATTCTTACAACCGCTAGAAACCATGAACCCAACTCAACTGCAAATGAAACTTAAATAATCCACACTATCCATCCAATTTCAAAAAGTATTAAGAGATTTTATCTTCTAATAGTAGCATTTAAACCTATTTTACGTTTACACATGTTTATTCGCTAATATTCGCTAATTAATAAACCTTGTTATGAAAATCTGTCGTCTCTCGGAACCTAATTTCACGTAATAAATGATTATATTTTTAGACACAAGAACGTTATATTTTTAAATATGAAACAGCGTTGCGTTGCACGAATCTAATTATCATGAAACAAGTAAATGCCCATAAATGCCGATCGCAAGTTTGAATTCATAATTAAAGTTTTTTTTCGACATACATTAGAAGAATAATCAATGCATTAAGAGATAAATTTGGAAGTTTTAAATCAGTTCAAATTACGTATTTTTTTTTATGATTTAATTGGGCGTACTTCAAATTCACGTTTAGATATAGATATTACTGCTTCATTAATTATATTTCCAAATAAATTCTTGTGATAGCTTGGCGTAATTCCGCATATAACGTTTGTGATAAAATTTTTTTAATAACATGCGCGTTATGATATTGATATGAAAAATTTTAAAAATAAACCCGCTTATATTCACAATTTTTTTTATAAATTCCTTCATTTTTATCCTAATCCTCCATTAATTCTCTTGGAATACCTTCACCTTTAAAATCGTTCATATCAAGAACTTCCAATATTTTAAAAAAATGGTCTCTCTGAAATTATTTTCTTTCGTCGCTCTTATCGCATACTTTGTTTCTTCAGCTGAATCTGCGCCAATTTGTACAATTAGCCTCGATGATCTCAAAGAACCACTTGATACCTATATTGTTGTACTTCAAACACCTTCCGATTCAAATGAAGCTGCCAATGTTGTAAAAAGTCATTTTGAAATATTAGAAGGATGCGCAGGCAAATCAATTACAAATATCTTTGGATTATCTGTCCTTGATGGATTGACCTTAGATAATCTTCGAAATAATCCCAAAAATATTTTAAATTTTAGCGTCAAAGGACTTAGTGTATATACAGGAAAATTTACCGATAGTTTTGTCAAGAATCATCTATCCAAATTACCAGAAATTTTATCCATTCGAAAAGATATCAAGTATCAATTAAATGATGCGATTTTTAAAGATGTTAAACAATTGATTTTTCCTCCTCCACAATCTACCGACAAAACAAATTTAACAGTAAGCATTAAAATAAAACAATAAATATTAATAATCTAATTTAAAAATCTTATTATTAATTATATTATCAATGCAGAATCTTGATCGTGTAGATGAAAGAAAATTTCCGTTAGATGGACTATATCAATCCCCAGATGGAAAATGTCAAGGAGCGAATGTTTATGTTCTTGATACGTAAGTCGTAAGTCGAAGGAATAAAGAATATGTGGCGCAGTCATCATTTAAATTTTTTAGTAATTTGAATATTTTCTTCAGAGGAATTAATACAGGTCATACAGACTTTGAAGGACGAGCAAAATTTGCTGCTGCAGTTTGTACTGGATGTCAAGAAGTAGACGATAACGGGTGAGTATTTATAATAAATCCTATTTGTAAAATCAAAACCTTTTCCTTAAAAAAAAAATTTAATGACATTCGAAACAAATTTAATAGTCATGGTACAATGGTTGCTGGAATAGTAAGTACAAAAACAACTCTGGGTGAATTTTTTAAATATAGGTGTATTTAGTTTTTCTTTTTTGCCTTTTTATGATATAGGTTGGTGGTAAACAGTTTGGTGTCGCCAAATTAGTAAACCTATTTGCCGTCAAAGTATTAAATGCTCAAGGTTCAGGTTTCTTGTCAGAACTTATGATGGGAATAAATTTTGTTGTTAACGAGCATGAAAATTCTCAGAATAAGAAAACTATCATCAAGTATGTATAAAATTGAAAGATGTGTCTTTTACAAAACATTATAATTAATCATTTTATTTATTTTTTTTTGAAATTTATTTGTACAGTATGTCTTTAGGCTTTGGACAACGAGTAGAAGAAGCTGATCGCGCAGTTAAGAACGCTCATGATAGAGGTATTATTGTTGTGGTAGCTGCTGGAAATGAAAATCAAGATACTTGCAATGTATCTCCAGCCGCAGCCGATGGAGCAATAGCTGTTGGCGCTACTGAACTTTCAAATGATAAAAAAGCCGACTTTTCTAATTTCGGAAAGTGCACAGATATATTTGCACCTGGTAAACTTTTTTTATTTCCCACCTTTTTGTTAATAACGATCATAATAACATTAATATAATGATAATAAATAATGATAATTATCTTTATAGGACGGGATATAGAATCAGCTCTGTTTCTTTCTCCAGTTGGTTCTCAAACGGCAAGTGGTACAAGCTTTTCCGCCCCTCATGTTGCTGGTGCCGTTGCTTGTATCATTGCCAATGAAGATTTAAATCCTGAAGCAGCAGCTAAAAAACTTTATAAACTTTCCACGAAAAATACTGTCGAAGGTATCAGCAGTGATACTCCTAATCAAATTTTTATTTGTTAAAGGTTCAGGCCCAGAAAAAGAATAGAAATTTCATTCTTCTCCTTAATAGATTTGTGATTATAGATTAATTAATCCTTTTATTTTTTTGAATTTTGTAATTAAATGTAATTAAATAAAATCACATAATAAACGCTGTAATGACTGTAAAAATATATTAATATAGTAAGTAACGAATTTATTCGTAATCTGACAGAAATAAATCAATTGACCGAAAAATCTACCGCGATATTTAATGGGTGGCATCACATAGTATGGGACAGCTAACAGCAGATCTAACACCAAAGATTATGAATTAGCCAATGTCGTTGTAATTATATTTAAAGTAATTGTTCTTTTGATGAAAAAATAGGAAATACTTGTACTTTCTAAGTAGTAGTTTTCATTTAAATATTAAATAAACTAAAAAGGTAAATTTGAAAATTGAGATTTTGGTTTCAATCTAACTTACAGTAGTTAGGTAATTACAATATATCAGAGTTAAGAAATTAAAACTAAATTGGAAATCAAGGATCTTCCATTCATTGCGCTTGACAATATTTAATTTAACAAATTTTAATTTGTCATTTATTAATACTTGAACCTTTCAAAGATACAAATAAAGAAGCATGTCAGCAGTTCGTTATAAGTGCATAAATTTTTTATTTGTATAATAAAAAAATAATTTATTTTAATTTTTTTTTTTCATGAAATTTTTTTTTCAGTTATTAATTTATTTATTGGCAACGGCAGGAACCAATCAGACGAAATCGCTAATCGGTACACTGCATAAAAATATAATAATTCTTCGCTGTGATCCAATAAATATAAATTACTAGGGGCAAACTTTATAATAAATTATATTAGGTATATTTTCACCGTCCTAAGAAAAAAAATTTTTTTTATTAACAAATGTAAATAATTAAATTTTGACTCAATTACCCATTATTTTAGTAAAATTATATTTACAACCACAGATAAAATTTCATGGTTCCAGCAAAAAAAAAAAAAAATTGGAACCAAAAATGTGTTGACAATTACGCTTCAATTACCTAAGCTAAGAATGATAACTAGGAACTTGATTTAGGAGATCGAAATTCTCGAATTCATTTAAATGGTCATAATGCATGATCACACTTTGTTCAAGCAAATTTTCGTGATTCCACACAATAAAGTTTTGCAGGAAAATAAGTTATTTGGGAAATTTTACATAAATTCAGAACGGAACGAATAAAAAGTTCATTTATGTCGACCCTAATTGGTGTAGATCCACGCTGATGCATCTGATTAAAATTGTGTTAAACTTGGCTAAAGATAACGTAATTTCGCATAACAAAATTTTAACGTGCCCTTACGATATGAATTCGTTTCGTATAAAAGGGTTGCTACAAACTTCCACAATTTTTTATCAATTCCTTCATTTTTTTTTTTAATCCTAATTCACCATTAATCCCCTTAGGATACCTTCACTCTCTTTAATTTTACCGTTAAACACCACATATAAAACCTTTTAAACATTCACCTTATAATATTTAATAGTAATATGAAATTAATTTCTTTAATTGCTCTTACTACACTCCTTGTAACTTTAGCTGAATCCGCGCCAGCTAAAACCTGTTCATTTACCGTTAAAGATCTCAAAGATGGAAATGAACCACTTGATACCTATATTGTTGTACTTCAAACACCTTCCGATTCAAATGAAGCTGCCAATGTTGTAAAAAGTCATTTTGAAATATTAGAAGGATGCGCAGGCAAATCAATTACAAATATCTTTGGATTATCTGTCCTTGATGGATTGACCTTAGATAATCTTCGAAATAATCCCAAAAATATTTTAAATTTTAGCGTCAAAGGATCTAGTGTATATTTAGGACAATTTACCAAAAGTTTTGTCAAGGATCATCTATCCAACATGTCAGAAATTTTATCAATTCGAAAAGATATCAGGTATCAATTAAATGATAATGAACTTAATCTTAAGAAAAAATTTCTTAAATCAAATGATGATAATGATGATGACAATACCAGTTTAAAAGTGAGTATATAAAATAACAAATTAATAACAATAAGATATTCGAATTTAAAATAATTTTTATTTTATTACAGAATCTTGATCGAGTTGATGAAAGAGAATTTCCGTTAGATGGAAAATATCAATCCCCAGATGGAAATTGCCAAGGAGCGAATGTTTATGTTCTTGATACGTAAGTCAAAGTGTTAAAAAAATTTGTGACGTAGTCATCATTTAAATTTCTATTAATTTGAATTATTTTCCTTAGAGGAATTAATATTCGTCATGTAGATTTTGGTGGAAGAGCCAAATTTGCTGCTGCCTTTTGTACTGGATGTGGAAAAGTAGACGATAACGGGTGAGTATTTTATAATAAATTCTATTAGTAAAATTAAAAACATTTCCTTTAATAATTTTCAAAACACATTTAATCCATTGAATAAATAGTCATGGTACAATGGTTGCTGGAATAGTAAGTACAAAAACAACTCTGGGTGAATTTTTTAAATATAGGTGTATTTGATTTTTATATATATATATTTTTTTATTTTTTTATGATATAGGTTGGTGGTAAAGAATTTGGTGTCGCCAAATTAGTAAACCTATTTGCCGTCAAAGTATTAAATGCTCAAGGTTCAGGTTTCTTATCGCAACTTATTATGGGAATAAACTATGTTGTTAACGAGCATGAAAAATCTCAGAATAAGAAAACTATCATCAAGTACGTATTAAATTAAAATTTACAAAACATTTTAATTAATCATTTTATTTATTTATTTATCTTTTTTTTTTTTTTGAAATTTATTTGTACAGTATGTCTTTAGGCTTTGGACAACGAGTAGAAGAAGCTGATCGCGCAGTTAAGAACGCTCATGATAAAGGTGTTACTGTGGTGGTAGCTGCTGGAAATGAAAATCAAAATACTTGCAATGTATCTCCAGCCGCAGCTGAAGGAGCAATAGCTGTTGGTGCTACTGAACTTTCAAATGATAAAAAAGCCAACTTTTCTAATTTCGGAAACTGCACAGATATATTTGCACCTGGTAAACTTTTTTTATTTCCCACCTTTTTGTTAATAACGATCAAAATAACATTAATATAATAATGATGATGATAATTGTCTTTATAGGAAGGGATATAAAATCAGCTTCGTTTAAATCTCCTTTTGGTTCTCAAACGGCAAGTGGAACAAGTTTTTCTGCTCCTCATGTTGCCGGTGCCGTCGCTTGTATCATCGCCAAGGAAGATTTAAAACCTGACGAAGCGGCTAAAAAACTTGACGACAATTCCACAAAAGGTGTTGTTTTAGGACTTGATAAAGATACTCCTAATAAATTTTTGTTTGTTAAAGGTTCAGGCCCAGAAAAACAATAGAAATTTAATGATCTAAATAGATTTGTTATTTAACCAAGGAATTAGTCGCAATGCTGCGGGTTTGTTTTTGTCAAAAAAAAAAATAAACATTTTTCGAATTTATTTTAATGAAGTAAATTTTAACAATCCATTTTTCACATATTCTATTTATAAATGTAAAGTTTTCATTAAAAATGCTGAGATAAATTAAATGATAAAATTCATAATTCCATGAAAATCACGTGCTTTGATTTGCGTTGGAATTTTAGCTGAATGTTACTGATGGTTACCCAATTAACATCCACAACTAACTAGAAAGAGAGTCAAAACAACCTAATATGGTGTCATTTATTTAATATCCGTTATCGTGATATTTCATGGTCAGCATGATCCTGATTGCATGGTCCCGCTTTTTTTTTATGACGTTTCCGATAGTTAAAATTTAATGTGTCAGATGTGTCAGACAAAAATTTTGTACTCGTTCATAAAAAACTTATTATAATTAGTAGCACCAGATTTCTGAAGTCATTCAGCCGCTACAATTATTATAGTCAACTATTATCAATCATTCGACTTATAAAAATTTTTCGTTGATGGATCGGTTAAAAATAAATCACTTTTTTATTTTTTATAAATTCTCACTTTTTTGCCAAGAGTGAATTCATTCAAAAGGGAAATAAGGCTTAAACAAGATTTGCAAATGTTTTTGTTTTTTGTTGTTAAAAATTACGGTTAACCTTTTTAAGATTTTCCATTTATTTCCTCTGCGATGAAAAAGATTTGATCATTTTTACAAATAATATGATCACGTGATTCCAGGATATCCTTTTTTTTCATAGGGAACCTTTTTATAAAAGAATGGGCGTAATGAATTCCCTCATTTTAGTAGGTACTTTGCGACAGGAAAATTATTTTTAAATATTTGCTTGCTCACGTGACAAATAATAATGAATAAGACTTTTCCTAAAAAGTTTCTGAAGATCTTTATTAAAAGCTTTAATAATTAAGTATCTATTCTCACGGAAAATGGATAATCCCATAGTAACCAAGTTTGGTTAAGCTCACGTTGAATTGTTCATAGAAACGTTTTAGCAAAATAAAACATTAAAAAAATGCTCAAATAAATGATGCATAAAAAATAAATTATACTTTTATCATGAGATTTCGAACTTAAATGTAAGAAATAATAATTATGAAATGTTTTTTTCCACAGAAAAAAGTGCGCTAGAGATTATCTTTATCTTCTTGAAACCAGTAAAATACATTCTTTTAATTAGTTTCCTTTACGACATCGGTAAAGAAATAAATCCAATTTACATAAATAAGCCCGCTTGCATAAAAAAAAAAGATTTTCTTATTCACTCTCACATTAACGTTAATGATGATTTCCTGTAAATTTTTAAAGATTTTTTCATCTTTTGCATTCATCTCACTCATTATAACATTTATTGAACCTGCGGAAATTGATTGTCCAAAGGAACCTACTAATCCAAATGAACCTTTGAAATCTTACGTGGTTTTATTTAAAGCCTCTTTTAATCCTCCGATTTCCAATTCTTCTGCTACCGTTTGGGAAAATCATGTCAACATGATAAAAAAATGTTTAAATAAACAAATGATAAAATCTTATGAACATATTAACGGTCTTCCAAATGGCAATGAAATGATTTATGATTTTAGTGTGGAGGGTCAATTCACAGGCTACTCTGGAAAATTCACCGACAGTTTCATGATAAATCACGTGTTAACGATTAGTGAACTTTTAATGGTTGCAGATGTTTCCGTTACAATAAAAGATGGTATTAGGTTTGAAAAGAGAAATAAACCCAAAGTTAATATAAATTCCGAGCCTACTCATCTAAAAGTTAGTGTATAGAATATTCTTTCACTTTTTTTTTTTTTTTTTTTAAGGAAGAAAATAAAAAATGATTCGATTTTTAATGAATTGTAGCATCTTGATCGTATCGATCAAAAAAACTTTCCACTAGACGGAAAATATTCATACCCCTCTAGCTCTGGCAAAGGAGTGAATGTTTACATAATTGACACGTAAGTCCAAATTATCGATGAACATGTAGCTTTAAATATTAATTTTTATTTTATTTGTCTTTTTAGCGGAATTAACGTTAAACATGTAGATTTCGAAGGAAGAGCTAAATTCAATGCTGTTTTTTGTGATGGGTGTCCATTATTAGATGATCATGGGTAAACATTTTATTAAATAAAAATATCTGGCTTTTCTTTATAAATATATTTACACGTAAAAATAATTTGATTCATTAATTATTATAGTCATGGTACAATGATTGCCGGTATTGTAAGTGCAGGACGACTCTATAAATTTTGACAATTTGTAAATCTTTCTCACATTTTTTTATTAATTAATAGATTGGTGGCCATTTCTATGGTGTCGCAAAAAAAACAAATTTAATTGGTGTCAAAGTATTAAATGCTACAGGTTCTGGCACAGCGGTAGACTTTCTTAACGCACTTAGCTATGTTATTCATCAACATGTAAAGTCCGAGAATAAGAAAACGGTGATCAAGTACGTATAATCCAAGAAATATATTTTACGCGTCAATTGATCACGTAGCGTTAAAGTTCATCTCTCGAATTCTTTTGAACAGCTTGTCCTTTGGTTTTGAAAGTAAAATGGAAGCCGTTAATATGTTGGTTGAAAAGGCCATAGGTCTTGGTATAAACATTGTTGTAGCTGCTGGAAATGAAGCAAATGATGCTTGTGGTTCATCTCCACCCTTGGTTCCAGATGCCATAACCGTTGGCGCCACTGAACTTATAAATAATCACATTGCAAATTTTTCTGATTTTGGTCCTTGTGTTGATATATTTGCTCCTGGTATTTATATTATGTCACGTTTTGTAATTTTTAATTTTTATATTTTTTAAAGAAAAAATTTAACCATTCATACCGGTTTATCAGGAGTAGATATAGAATCAACTGGACCAGATTCTCCGGTAGATACTCTAATTAAAAGTGGAACAAGTTTTTCTGCCCCAATTGTTACTGGTGCCGTTGCTTTGTTACTCGGTGAGAAATATTTGTCTACTGATGAAGTAACCAAAGAACTTATTAAAATTTCTACGAAAAATGTTGTCAAAGGTCTTGAAAATTTACCAGAAACTCCCAATAGATTTTTACGCGTTCCCTATCCCTGATTATTAATATTACTTCTAATAATAATAAATGTACGATATCTCCGTCCACAATGATGAAAACACTTCATCCATTCTAAAATGTTTTGATTTTTTCTATTGAATCTCTTCGAAATGAGAAAAAAAAAAGATCAAGATTAGTAAGTTTCACATTAAACTAACTGAAAAACAAAACAAAGAATTAGTTAAATTTTTATCTCGTCTAGTAATTGAGGAGGTTGTGACAGAAAATCCTTTGGAGCAACCCAAAGAATTTCATTAATCGCCACGGGTTTTCAAACTAGTTCAAAGGTAGAAAAAAAAGCCAACGAATAAAAATCTGTTGGCTCAATATCAAGAGGAATTACCTATTTGCACTTGCTTTTCAACTTTGTGTCTCGCACAACTTATATTTATACATTTTGCTTCTTGATCTCCAACATCATTGTTATGCGAGCTACATGGTCTATAATGAATCATTCTAGTAATATCAAGGTAATAATTGATTCTTCTTTCTATTGGAATTCTTGAAGGAACAAGTTTACAATGTGTTGGACCATTACGCCGAAACACTGTATTTACGCCCAGACTTAAACAAACTCGGTCATTACAATAACGATAGAACTCTTTATAATGGTAAAATTAATTGTATGGAAAATGAAAAACGTGTTTATTGAAATCATCAAGACGGCACTCATCAATGATCCCGAAACAATCGTGGTGATGACTTTACTTGATTCTATCATATCATTACTTGTTCCATTGTTTGTTTATCTTTTTATATCGAATGATTTAAAGTATAAACCATTCACAAGAGTTATAAAAATTTTATATTGAACGTTTATTTTTGGTTCTTGAAAGCAATACCAATTTGACTAAATTTGGCTATGATGATACTGATTATGTGTCATAGCGTTGTTCATTCCGGATTAAACATATTTAATACAATTTTCTCCATTCAATTATTTGTAATTATACATCTCAAGATACCTTTAGTTTTAATTTTTCTATGAAAAAAGGTTGGTTCCAAAACTTTTCTACTCCCTTACTTGTTTATTTAGAGACCTCTTTTTGGTTCGATTTGATTTTACTTGAGCAATTCATAATTTTCGCTAATTTATCGTTAGGATGGAAGTTTTTTAGTTCTTTAAAACAGTTCGCCTTCCTTTATTTGCATACATACACCTTAACTCCTTCCCCTTTTCCCTTGCGATATTATCGCTTTCGTCCTTTTAACTTCATTAAATTTTATGTTGTAACTTTGTAACTTCGTTAATTTTCCGACATTTTTTATTGTCTGAAACGTATTACAAACCATACATGCGATCAGAGATGATCTCCGGCTTTAAGCCGGAAGCCGCAGCTTTGGCAGAATAATGTAATTTTTTTTTTTAAGTGCGGTAGTTTCGCATAATCTTTATTAAATTCAAAGTACATGTGACACAAAGTAAACAAAATACAAATTTAAGGAAATACAAAAACCTCTATCTAATCTAAACAAAATTAAGGCCGTCCCAGTGGCAGAATAATGTATTAAAAGCAGAATTTAGGAGATTGTGTGTCACATTATATTGACCAATCAAAATTGGACGGATCGTAAATAATTTTTTTTAATAAATTCAAATTGTTTATGATTAATAAATATGGTTCGCAAAGTAACTCATTAGAGAATCTCAAAACAAATTTAATACTCATATTTCTTCACATCTTGCACGTCCTCTTTTCAAGCTGCTTAAATTTTTAATCCTAAATATATTTACTTGGTACTTTAGAAAGAAAAAATTGCGTTTTATTAGAGAATTAACAAATCCCTACGATGAATTACTTTGAATTTAATGTGAAAATGCAATTGGAAAATTTAGTTGGAGAAATTATATTGGATGAATCTTGAAGATAAATTACCAATTCTTTCAAAAATTGCACTTATATTTGGTTACCTGTATCTAATTTCTCAATTTATAATATTTTAGATAATAATCGTAGATACTTTGAAACAATTAAAAATGATGTATTTTAATGATGGTTAATTATTTTTTTGGTAATAAAATTAATAAAATTTTATTTTTGTTTTTGCCGAAATGAGCAAAATTATAATTAATATAAATAAATATCTGCAGAAACGATGATTATAAGCCGCTGGCAGATTTTCATGCAATGTCCCTACCCTAACCCTAACCTAACTCTAAACCATATGCCACTAACCTAGGTGATAAATAGGGTTCCACATAAACTTGTCCCCCGTAATTAAATCTCAAATGTTGTAATGTTGCAACAAATGATCCCTTTTGTTGCAACAAAACCGTAATATTACAATATACCGTACCGTAATTTTGCAATATAACGTTGCAATATTAGCAAAAACTTATTTTATAATTTAAACAAATACATTTTTAAGAAACACAACGGATTTATTTATTTATTATATATTTTTAGTTATTTAAGAACAAATATAAGTTTTCGATAAAGTTTTAGCAAAATTTAA